CCCGCGAATTATCTCGCGATGTTTCGCGGGTCGGGGCCGCCGGTGGTACCTGTGAATTATTTTTTGATTCTTAAAAAATATGTGGGCGCACCGCGCCCTCGTCATCGCAACCCACCGATGGTGGGTGCGATGGTATCCGACTGGTGGTCGTCGGGAACGATGCTTTTCTGGGCGCATTGTTACAAGTTAATCAACTTTCGTGGGGAAGAGATATTGGTTCGACTTCACATACGACGTAGACAGTAAAAAAATAATGCTCGCAAGCGGAAGATGCTCATCCTGAACGAATCGTACGACGGAAAAATCACATCGCAAACGTCGACGTTACCAGCAGCGTTCAAACGATACGACGGAAAAAAGCAAAGAAGAACGGGGATATTGAACGCTGCGAACGTTGTTTTTTTACGATCCCTAGGATTCGTCGTAAGAAATGAGCCACGATATCCTGAATATCGGGGATAAGCCGATCTTTGACGATCGTATCGTTAAAATCGATACTCACACTTACAATCCATACGCTAATACTACATTCGGACACAGCGACGAAATACGAATACCTATACAACATCAGGATCTGTACACGTTACCGTGCGAAAGTTTTCTCTACGTCGAGGGAAAATTCTCGGTGAAGAAGAAGAAGGAAGACGGTTCCAACTCCCAATCAAGACTATCGAATAACTGCGTAGCGTTCATGTTCGATGAGATTCGATACGAGTTGGACGGTGTTGAAATTGACAGAAATAGAAACGTCGGTATTACTAGCACAATCAAGAATTACGTATCACTGACTGCTGATAAAAGTAAAACGTTGGAAAACGCAGGATGGGTCAATTCGTTTAATTGGAACAATATATATTGAACATCCCGACACTTGAAGAGTTCAACTTCTGCGTATCGTTTAATACGCTCCTCGGATTTTGCGAGGATTACAAACGTATAGTGATAAACGCGCGACACGAACTTATTCTGATACGTGCGCGTAACGATAGCAATTGCGTTGTGGCGCACGATTCGGACGAACCTAAGATCACACTATTATATAGAAAATGCCGCATGTAATGTTGAACGACGTTAATAAATTATCGCTTTTGCGGACGTTGGAAGGCGGACGATATCTCAGCGTAGGTTTCCGATCATGAGATACGAATTCCTTCTGCTTCAAAGCACGACCAAACATTCATGGGCTGCAAAAACGATATCGCAATTAGAGAAACCGCGATATATAATTTTTGCGCTTCAAACCGGAAGAAGAAACGTGTTCTCGCAAGATGCTTCGATGTTCGATATGTGTAAACTGACTAATGTGAAACTTTTTCTGAATTCTGAATTTTATCTTTACGACGATATGAATTTAGATGTCAAACGTAATAAAATCGTCATACTCTACGATATGTATATCAAATTTCAAAAGATATACTATGGTCGTAACAACCAAGAGGCTTTGTTATCTCTCACACAATTTCTTGAAAACGGTCCATTCGTAGTAATCGATTGATTCTCGTCAAAACGAATCGATAAAGAGCGCTACAATGGATATTCATATAGAGTTCGAATGTGAGGAAAATATTCCATTAAACACCACAGCCTATTGTCTCATTATTCACGATAGGGTGATAGAGTACAATCCATTGACTAATGTTATTCGCAAAATTATGTAATAGTTATATTAAAATTATAACATATTCATTAAATTATATAATATTATACTAATTATATAATTATTATACTAATTATATTATATACTATAATAGTTTTTTTCACGCTCTATTTTGCTAATTTTCTATATATTATGATTTCATTTCCCTTCTTTATCGAATTTTATCATGTTTAAAACGCCTATTCTGTTAAATATATTGTATAATATCTCAACAAAAAATTATTCATGATTTCATTTTCCTTTCCTCAATTAGACAAGAGTCTCATCCGAAGATATATAAAAAATCATGAAATGTGATTCATTACTATTAGCAAAGTGTTTGAGTGCGCATCGTTTTTACTGCAAGTCGTATATACTTCGTTACATCGCGATGTCTCTCGCGTTCATTATCATTTTCGTTATCATTACGATTACTACGACAGCGATAAAGACGACGACGACGACGAATTATCAAAGTGTAGATACTGAAGTAGTTCTATATCTACAAAAGTATGGCTATTTGAAGAACATTAAGAACAACACGCAATAGTCGATCGAGAGCGAAGAAATTAAACAGGCCATTTTATTGTTTCAAGAATATTATCAAATACCGGGCGATGGTACGTTGAATGATCATACGTTGCGTCAAATGCGTAAACAACGATGCGGTCTCCCGGACATTCCACACCACGAGCAAAATACAGGTAGGAACAAATGGATGAAAATACATCTCACGTGGAACTTTCATTTAGCGGACGCACACACTTTGCAAACTACCGCATTCGCGTTCTCGCTATGGGCAACGAATTCGTCTTTATCGTTCGAACGTAAAACGTTAAATCCCAACATCTTGATATCGTATCGTAGTGGCACTCACACGTACGTTAACCACAAACGTAACGGAGAAATTTGCTCCTCTTCGTTTGACGTGGTGGAGTACTCGCTCACGCGTTCTATCCTTCACAATTACGTCGCTGAAATACACGTGGTCAATGCAGAATCCTGGCATATATATCTCAACAAAAAACCTATCAACAAGGAATATCTACTTCACACGTTAACACACGAAATTGGGCACGCGTTAGGATTAAGGGGTTACATCTAATTGACACACTGAAAAATTAGACTTTTTTTATGAATTTTTTTTGAAAGTACTAAAAAAGCACTCAAAATGAGGTACAGAGGGTTTATTGTACATGTATTTAAGTATACAAAAAAAATTTTTTTAATGAAAAAAAATACAAAATTGCGGCGTAGTCGCTGCTGCGGTAAGAGCACTTTTTTTTTAGGCGCTCCACGGGCGAACTAATAACTTTTTTGGATCATCATCTGGAACAAAAAGAAAAA